TACTCCCGTTCAACCAATCCATTCATGCCAAATGTCTGGGTGCTGGCACCGCGAACTCTTCGTTAGGAACGGCCCTGACATTGCGATCAATACTCACAATTTTCTTCCTTCTTTAGAACGACCCTCAGGGTTGTTCTAAACAGGGAAGAAAAGTGTTGCTTTTGCACATAGTTATGATAAAAACTGTTTCCAATGGGCGGTCACAAGATATGATATTCTTGCATGCAGGAATCCCCATGCAAAAATCAATCACTTCTTCGTGCAAGAAAAGAAGTGGAAGCAGTGTTTGCATCGTCGCCATATGCACTCGCGCTCTTCCGCGCCTCCTTTTTTCTCGTACTCACCGAGCTTCGCGCTCTTCGGCGCTTCCTTTTTTCTCCTACTCACCGAGCTCCGCTCGCACCTGCATCTACTCTCGCCACCGCGTACTTGACGTCGCTGCACGTTCTTCGCAGCGTTTCGAAGGCTACACGCGCGAAGAACACTCTGCATGCTGATCATCACGCCGCACTCGTCGTGCGCACGGAACAACTGCTTTCATTGTCGCAATATACACCAGCCCTGATCTACGCTTCTCCGTTTTATTGGACTTACCGCGCTCCTTGCGCACCTGCATCTTCCCTCGCCGCCTCATCTTCGAGGCCTCTGCGCGTCGTATGCTGTGATTCTAACGCCGAACGACGCGAAATACACCTAGTGCTACCCGCCTTGCCGCACGCGTTACGCCATGCCCACCGCGCGTGCACTAATTTATCGCCCGCCGAGTGCCTCGTGTCAGGCGCCTGAGGCCACACGCCGAACCACCACAAATATGAAGGGTATAGACAATCAAGAGGGGGTGCGAGGGAGTGGGAGTGAAAATGCACAAGGCACCATCAGTGTACTACCTGCTGGAGAAGGTTCATCCGCCGATAATGAATCCCACTTGCAAGTCCCACTGCTTCTCAACGATAATCCATGGCTATCTAACTTTGACAATGGCATCGCTGTGGCTCCGAAGGACCGAGACAGGGTTTACACTTTTCTTTCTTCCTCACGTGTACCTGATCTCCGCGCGCTCGCGAAACTTTTCAAGCTTGGCACGGTTGGAAACAAGAGAAACGTAATCTGCAAAAGTGCTGATGGTTTTATATAAAGTTGAACGAAATGGAGGGCAAAACTGGCCTGCCCTAGTTGCGGCGAATTATGTGGACTGGATCAAAAGTCCCCTGCAACTAAACAGGATATTCTACATGTGCCCAGAAGAAAGGCAAATTACATCTGGGCAGCCCGAATCTTTCGGAAGACGCACCAGCGAACGGTCTGGTTCAGGTTTGGATTTGTCAATACCACCGGATCCCGGATTTACGCTTGATGAATTTGCGCGTTTGTGCGTAATCCTATTCAGAAATGAGGAAGCTAGGGCTGCTCTGCTAAAATCGGGTGAGGATCTCACCAGAGCAGAGCTGGACAGAATGGAATCGCGAGATCTGTTTTGGAGCAGCGTGGTGGAACAATTTTTAATAATGCTTCTCTGAAGCCACAGCTCGCGGTAGACGGCTGTGTTAGTGGTGTAGACTCTACAGTAGCTCCGATAATATTCCGAGCAGCCGAGAAACTCAAGCAGCATTTTTACGCATCGAAGAGTATATTTACTCTTGCAATGAATAATTACGAAGCTTCAGGACAGAACGACCCAGACAACTTTGCCCACTTCATTCCCAGAACATCTAGCACTCGGGAACCGTCCTCGGCTGGAAAGCGCTGTATAGTTTTATTTGATGCCATGAAATGCGGGACTCCCGAAGAGGACAAGGACGCTTTGGAACTAACGAGGAAAGAAGCAGCTCCGGGTATGGGCTGGGATGAGGGAAATTTGGGAATCGGACGAGAAGTTTCCGGTTCGACACCGAACCGTGGGAGTAGGAGGAAGAGGCGACGCGCAGGATTTATCGAAGATGACAATGATACCCGGGAGAACGTGAGCGAACTTGTCGCAGAAGTAACCACGCTGGCATCTAGTGTGCCTCAACGACGGAGAGGGGAAGAACTCAACGATCCTGCAAGTACGTATTACCCTCAGCTCGTGACAACCAGAGGCTATCTTATTGAGCAACTGACTAGCATTGATTCAAAAATGAAAGAAGCGGGGCCGAACCTGCACGCAATTCTCCAGAATCAATTCGGCAGCATTGCAAAAGCACTAGATAGACTACCGCAGTGCGATTCTTTCGCTGATTAAAGGACATATGGGGGTAAAGGAGGAAGGGGGGGAGGGGGCAGGGCGGTACGGGAGCAAGGGAGGAGGGGGGCAGGGCACCCCTCCGCTGCTTCACCTCTGCCGCGCCCCCTCCCAGGACGGCTGCCGCCGCCCCTCGAATGGTGCCGACCCCCCTGTCTTCGCCGGTTTCGGCGGGGAGAAATCGGACTTTCGGCAACGCCTCTGCTACGTCATCTCGTGTTCATCTGCGTACAGCACGGTACGGGTCTCTCCGGAGCTTATACCCTGCGTCGAAGTTCCCCGACTCGACTTCAGATGCTTACTATAAATACACGCACGTTGATGCAAATCCCTACTTACCTGGCGCAATGTGAACTCCTTTTACGGACCTTTTTTATTGTGATAATCAGGAAGCTGTCTCTACGAGGGTCGGAAGAACCCCAATTCTTTGAGGTGTGCTGTGAGATGATCACGTACGTGTGATGACACTAAATCTCTGCGTCGGCCCTGGTCTTGGTCACGAAGACTGGTCGCCGCCTCCCACCATTTGTTAAATGCCATATCTAAAATGTCTCTATCTTGCGTGGACATTGCGCTGCGCATTGGCATAACTTTGTTATCGGTGCAGTAATTGTGAACTCTCATACATGCTGCCAGCACAGCAGGTACCCTTGATAAAGAGAACTTCATCTGTCTCCAAAAGAATTCCATATCTTGCAATGAGCATTGCGAAGCTCTATTCCACATGCATACGGAGCGTCGATTGATAAAAATTAAATGCATCCCGAGCATCGCCGTGTCCCGGATCTGCAATCTGCGAAGTACTCCACGGCGTTACGAGCGAATTTAAGCACTCAAATGCCGCGTCTGCGGCAATCTAGTAACCAGTCATCATTGTTTCACTATTCATCAATTGTCTACCGAGAACGGAAACGGCAAAGGCAAGGGAGTCATGTGTACTTCCAGTACACAATGCAGACATATACAAAAACCTATAAGATGAGTCAACAACTGCCTGAACCGGTTTACCGTAGTTTCCTTTCCGGCAGAAGTAAGCCCGTGGGACTGAGCTTTCAAACGGTTTTGCAACCTTTATGACAAGTCCATCGAGAGCCCCAATGCATCCCCAGAGTGGGCTAGGGGTAGATCTTGAACTTTCGAAGCCGCAGCTAAGTTATGTAAAGAGCTAGCATCCTGGAGCGGTACGCCGGGCAAGTGCAAGGTAGATAAAATTGCATCAATTGTACTGTGGAACACTTCGTACGCAATAGAAGTCCCAATTCGAAAGAGCATCTCTAAAGCATGGTGCAGTGCCCCGGAAAGCATATGAAGCCTCATAGCCAGCCTCACTGCTGGATGTACTCTTCCACCGCCCGATCGGGCAGCCATCGCAGTGCTTCGTTGCAGCAAAGGCGTTGGAGCATCAAGTAAACAGAAAACAAATTTCGCGGCAGTCTAAAGAACTTCTTAAATTCATGATCGCTGAGGTACATATGGCATCGATCAAAAGCATCCCGGAATTTGATCTTTGTTAGGCCTTTCTCGACGCTTCGTATATTTTCCCTTCGCCGCTATGAGTTTTCCAAAAGGATTACAGCTGTTGTCGCAGCAATGGCAGCAACAGCTGCTGCGCACGTAACATAGTCATCAGCATCACGGCATCCCTCGTCACCATCCTTATCACTCATGTGAAGTGCTCCACTGGAGTTGTCGACCGGCACCAACAAGCAGGGCACCAAAGAGGATACGCATGCTGCCCTCGACCAAAACTGCAACAAGTACCACTAGATAACCGCCACTTGGTGGCGTAAATTGCGTGCGAAATCTGGACATGGTTTAGAAGAAAAATGCAAATTGCACAAATGTATGATAATCTCGTGCAAAACGCAACGAACTAATCCGCTGTTTAGAACGACCCTCAGGGTCGTTCCAAACAACGGATTAGTTTCAGTTGCCCAAAATTCATTTCTTACAGTTCTGTACGTATTACATACTGTAATTGGCCGCAGTTTTTTGCAACTGTGGTACACAGTCGTTGACGCTTGCGCGCGACACAGAAAAGAAGTCCAAACGACGTTTTGGACAAGAATCTCGACCAAATAATTTTGGTTTGGAAAAGAATCTTGCCCAAATTCTAAACTTTAGGAGAAATGGTGGCGCGGTGGGGTTGAAAATCTCTTCTATCGGTCCGAACTTTAGTGGTTGGAATTTTGCGACTGAAATTTTGTTGGCGGTGGGATCACCCCACCGCCAACAAAAGCTGTGCAGTGCACAGTAGTCCACAGTACGCCCAGTGGGCGACTCCAAAAAACACAAACACACACTACTGTACCAAGCGTACAGTAAACGAACTACATGCAACCATGCACTTCAAAGCCAGGAGGGCGTGAAGAGCTGACAAGCAACTTCCAGCCCGGTGTCGTCTTCTCAACCTCTGCCACTCCGAATGACACCTTCGTGAACTCAATTTGCCTGTGCAGTGGCAAGCAACGGCTCAACTGCCCGCCCTGCTTTCTCTGTGACTGTCTTCTCGACGTGTCTTATCCATTTCACTGCGTGTGCGAGAGCCTTGCTCGTTTTGACTCCCTCTTCCTTTTCTTCCGTCTTAGACTACTAATTCTGTCGAGTGACACCACACTCACACAGCTTCGCTGTTACAGCTCACGCAAGTAGGAGATTCCGCTCTTCGAGCTTGCGCACTTTTCATAGCAGCGCATGGGTGCACCACTTTCCGGCAATTTCCGGAAGACTCCGCTTTCCCTGCTTCACTAGCTCGAATTTCCAGACCATCACTCTCGTTATGTCTCCAATTTCAGTCGAGGATGCTCTTCGCCAATCCGGAAAATCGATCAAGCAGGCAGTTTCGGCCCTTTGGGACCTTGACGAAAACCGTCTCACACCTGAAATTGACTACTCTCTTGATCTGCAACAACCTACTGACTACGCCCATGCGGGCATAGCCGCATCCCGCCCACTCTTCAGCCAATTCTCACCTGAAGTCTGGAAGCGGACAACCTACGGAAAGTTCCGCAACTTGTTGGGCAGATATGATCCTCGAGCATTTTCCATCGATACAACCGATGACGAAGCCGACTTCATCAGCACAATTATTGAGACACCCTGCCTTCATTTTGTTCGCAGGTGGCTTATTTCAAACGGCCACCTTCCGCCATCTACGCTGAAAACTTTTTCTTCCTTATTGCTTAAAGTGTGGTTTTCCGAGCATGCAGGCCGCAATACGCAGGCTCAAGCGACAGGCTTCCAGCATGTGTTTTGTGGTGAGTTTAGACGATCGAAAGGCTTGAGCGGTCTTCACAATTTTATTAGCGTCTTTCTAGCGGAACAGCAAGGCCATTTGCACTACATGGGCTACGACAAGTCCTCCCTCAAGGTACAGAGCACTGAGCTGCGAAAGCAGCACATGTTGAAGATTCGATTCGGCCTTTACGGGCGTCAAAAACAGATGTCGTCAATGTTTTTTGGTGTATCTCCAGAGTTCGAGGTTGGCTTGTATTCTTTAATGATTCTGGCAAAGAAGTGTGAAGTTGCGACAGTGTTGGGTACGCACCACGCTGTCATCAAGGCTGTAGCAAAGAATAGAAGGGTCGTTACTGCTTTTCCACTACTACTAAAAGCCACCCCGGCTCGTCAAAAACGACTCCGTCCTTCGCGGCGGCAGAAGAACTCTGTGATAACTCTATGTGAAGAGAATAATCAGACAAACAAGTCGAGTAATATTACGGAAGTGGCGACAGACGTGTGTCTCGGCCTACAGAGACTGCGTATTGCTTCAAAACGCACCAAACGAGCACAGTCATCGGCCTGCGCGCCACTTCGGGTCCCATGTAAAAAGAGACGTCCCAGGGCGAAGTCAACAACGATGAATCTGAGGTCGCGAAAGCGACAACAGATGAATACGGTGCAGATCGGTGCAGTGATAGACTTGGACGAGATTGAACCGAATCCGACGAAGTCTGTAGAAGAAGTCATCGACTTGACACCAGGTGATGAGGCAAGCAATCTCGGGCATGCGACGATGGCGGACTCGCATCTGGTTTGTTCCGCAAGAAGAAGTGTTATCGATCTCACTCTTGAAAATTCATGACACCAACGCGTGTCCAATTCACTCGAAGCTGATGGTACTGAAAGACACACACCCAACTCATGTACTGTGTATTCTTTTTAAACTAACATCTCTTACCTAGCCAAATCTGCAAAACGATAAGTTTCTAGCGAATTTGGGTTGTAAAGTGACTCCACGTTTGGACATGACAGTTCTGACTTGATGCCACGTCGATGAGCTTGTCGAGTGGGCGTACGATTGCAGGCTGTAACTCCGTCGAACAGATATTGTACCCCTCGCTTGTACGAAGCGGCAGTACAACCTATGACATGAAGAGCTGGTTTGCAATGCTACTTAGGGCCAATGTACAGCATGCTTCAGCCCGTGGAACGGAAATTTACCGCCCTACGAAATTCACATGCATGCACGTATTTGTTAGAATAATTGAGGGTATTGTATGCGGTATGATTGCTAGCCGGCGCCTTCCCTTTCTGTAGGCCTTGCCCTCTTCCGAGAGTTGTTCTCAGAGGATTACATAATTTCTGAGAGAAGCTCCACGGCAAGCTAATGATTATTATCGCAAAACGTGGAATTGTGGAATTGCCATGCCCAAGTTGGCGAAAAACTGCTGCAGAACTCTTGTAGAAAGGAAGTATTGTGTTGGTGCACGTCGATTGTAATCGCTGTCAAAGTAACGACTGAAGTAAACATCTCACTAAGAAAAGAAGCAAAGGCTGTCGGACACGCCCCTGCGCGGAATCCTGTTCAAGGAATTTATTAGGTACCGCTGGCAGCAGCCACCAGAGCGTAAGTTTAATGGGACTCACGGTAGTCTTGTTTGTACGATATTGTGCAGTATGTCATAACTCACGACATGCGACACGTGACCCCTTATACTAAACCGTCGCTAGCTCCTTCCAGCGGGACAGTGACTGTCCCGATGCCGTTGCGACATCCAAAAATAATCATCCCGAGTGTCCGTCGTCGGCGAGGAAGGTCGCCTTCGTCTTTAGAGGTTGGCGGATGCCGCATGTGTGCCGTGTAGAAATTTTCGACGATCACCTGGCTGCATGCAATTGAGTAGACAGTCCCACATGATGACATGACAGTGCGAATATGACGTTGACGTCATATTTGCCTGACGTCAGATGATCTCGAGAGGCATGGGCCGCAATACAGTTGAGAGCAGTCTTTTGGTCCTGTGGTCCACTGCCATTCGTTTCGGTCTAAAGAATGAAGAAATTTCTTCATTATTCAACATGTCAACATGTTGGTGCATTTTTTGGAAAGATTTGAAACATCTGCGTCATATACAGACATTGACAAGGGACTTTAATCTTGTCCCGGATTATGCCCTCTCGAAAGGCACCAACGCACTCTGGGGTACATGACCGGGTAGGGCGACACAGGCGTGCCGTAGCCAGAGGTCAACAATGTGCTGTTTACCCTAGCTGGACTTCTTCAAAAACTCGTAATTTATAAAAAAACCTTCACTAATCCAGTTCAAGGCATGAATTCCATGTTTTGATTCACGTTAGTTGATCAAAGATCATACTGTAGCAGGGACGTATCCCTTTAAAGTAACAGGGGACAGGCCAGCTAGCTCTTCTGTTTAAAGTAGTTTTGTTTCCGGGTTAGGATAAACCAGCCCAATTATGTTCCTTTTTGTCTAGAAACGGTAGATTGATAGAACCGCGTACGTGCCCTCCTCAAGGCTTTCTTACAAGTTTTTGACCCGGGCACGTCCCAGCTTTATCTATGAGCTGAGTCACCAGTGACAGACCTTGCAACTTACTTCTTAAATCAGCTCCCGTACATTATGGACTGAATCAGGACAATAAGTATGCTATGCTACTGGGGGCTTTCTTGTTTTTATACTTTATGTTGGAAACTCTGTCTCCCCTAGATTTAACCCCTTCTTTACGGAGCACAACCCAAGCTCCATAATATAATACTGGGTTTCCTACTTTATACATAATTTATTTCTCTTCCTCTTCAACTTTCGATTGTTCATGAGTTTTCGAGAAAATTATCTATGCTTGTAAGCACCTGATAGCACCAACAGTAGCTCAAAAGCTTTGGCTTAGCAAAAATGACAAGCGTTTATCAGTGACACATCGACACATCGTACCCATATGAATATTACACAAGCGCCGAAGCTTTTGTCATGTTTCATAGCTGAGGGCCACAAGACATTGCAACTGTGATTCTTCGACCTACAAAGAGCCTGAGATAAAAGCCAAGTCCGACTCTTCTTCTGCTGACACCTTTGAACTTGCAAAGGCTCATGACCGACTAACTGTTGCAGCCCCTTCGAAGTCCTGCACCTTTTCAGATCATATACGGAAGCTATTAACGTTTCGAGATGAGTGTTTCTTGCAGGTGGCGAATCGATTTTGTCATCACAAGAGAAAATAGCCCCTGTGGGTGACTGACTTGGACAGTGCTAAATATAAAAACATGGCGATGAAACAGGTTTCGAAGGAACTTTATGCAGAAGGACTCTCGGGAAGAGGTGCCTTTCGGTTTTCAGACCAGTACGATTCAGACATGCAAGTGACATGAATTTAGTCTAGCGTAAGAGAGACTATGGGCTGAAGTATTCGAAGGAGGGATTAAATATCTTGCTTTCTAAGGAGCTCTCAGCTTACGCTCATCCAATTATGAACTACTGGTGCAGTTTGATCACAACAAAAGAGTAACGCTTACATTTTTTGTGTCCATAAGAAGCGTTCTGGAACGTTTCCCCCGAGCCAGTTGGCTGGAGAATGTGAGATAAAACGAGTTGAATTCAAAGCGTGCAGTTCCACGTATCTGCACGTGATTGTTTCGTGCAATTCCACGTATCTGCACGTGATATTGTTTCGTGAAAATGTAGACGAGCCTGCATTGCAGACTCACGGGTGTGCCCTAGACGCGTCGAGCAAGAATACACACCGCAATACAGTATTCATATTCTACTGCATTGGAAACCAAGTCCACATCAAAAGGAAGGTAGCCATTAATGTGAACTGGGTGACCAGACTGCAAATCAAAAAATGGATGGATCGTTACAGTGGCATGAAACAGGATTTGCTGTAACTGTGTTTGCGGCTGTGTCTGTCATGGATTGTAGCGGGGTGTTGTCGCCGCATCAATAACCAATGAGTGAATGTACTGATACTAGCACACGAAGTGTGGCACTCCTGCAACATGTGCGGGCAACGAATGTTTGGAAAAGTCTATTTAACTACCTTGTCCTCTAATATTTGAGATGCCTTTGACCTCTTCTCGCTTCCAGACAACTAGGCACTTCGACAGTACTCGTTCTGCTTGCAAAAGCTATGGAGGGCCAGAGCAATTCGAATCCGGACTCTGCTTCAGGCTGTTCCATTCCCATTCGTTCACCTATCAGCAAGGCAGACAAGCGATGGCATCTTAAAACCCCCCAAGGCATGATTGAACCCTACCCCGGTCTGAATCAAAGATTATGCGAGATTGCCTACGGCTCTAATCATTGCGACCTGGTCGTTCGGGTGCGATTTCGAGAAGAAAGCAAGACAAGTGAATTTCAAGCTCATCGATGTATGCATCTATGGGCTGTTCGTTTTGCAGGAGGTTTATTGGCACAGGCTTTTGACGGCGCCAAGCCAGGCGTTGATGTTGAGTTGGAGGGGAACATGAACCAAACAGAGTGGGTTTGTTTCAAGCGCTTCCTCTATGGATGCCCCTTCTCGGTCAAGAATGTGACTCTTCCCAGCCTAATGAATCTAATTTCTCACGGGTCGCGTTACAAACTGAAGGGATTTCTCAGAGTCATGGCGACTGCAATACAGCAAATGGACAGGATTGCGACCCCAGGCGAAATTGTCGAGGCAAGCTTTCTTTTTAAAATTGCTGGAATACCTAGGAGTTTTAAAAATTACTTGCTGAACCTTCTGGCAGAGCAATACCAACACTTCTTTGACAATAAGTATGCTGATGGAGATGCGACTGTATCGATTGAAAAGAGGCTCTGCCCTGGATTTTTGGTGCTGTGGCCTTTAATGGAAAATGTAGGAATGAGTGCTCTGCTCCTTAAAAAAATCATGGAGCAGGATGCGAGCCCTGCTATCAGAAAGGGACTCGTCGACTGTGTCTTGGACTTCATTCAGCCGAGGAGGGAATCGGACGAAGAGGTTATGGTGCTTCTGGATGCTCTGGAGTTGTCTCTGGAAGAATTGGAGGTCGAGGTGAGCAGCGGAGATAGGGACGCCAATGGGAATTCACGTGCGATGCGTATACTTGCGAAATATGCTATTGCGAAAGCCCTAACGAGGACACGGCCTTCTGCATAAAGGCTATTCCTCGTGTATCTTTCAGGGAAGATAAGTTGTTTACAGTTCATCGTGATCACGCAATCACAGATTTTGGCTACTGTCTAGACCGGTTTATGAAATTCGCCATGATGGGGCAAAGGACAGTACAATGGAAAATGAATAGCTTCGATACATAAGTGTTCACGATAAGTTATATTATCACCACAATGAATGTACGCATGTCTCCGATGAGTAAATTGATACTGAGCATGGTGTTTTAACTCTGTTCTATCGAATCACACATGGACTGAAGTATAGCAGACTTTGCGATAAGCGGGTGCGTGAAATCTGGTATTTGATTGCGTATAGCAGCGGCCAGACTGTCGTTTGCGTCTGCGAGATTGCGGATCGCAAAACTCACGGCCTTCTTGCAGTACTGTTGCCCTCCAGGATACGACTTGATGAAAACGTACTCGTCGGAAATTTCTTGCAAAACCCCATCCCACTGCTTGCAGAAGTCAGACATTCTTGTCTTAGTTTCCTCTAGTGATTCAGAAGTAACATCGGCTTCAATCCCTAGCAACGCCCCGGCGTGCTTCTCGGCAACAAGGTGTGCAAACTGAGCAGAAATCTGGTCGAAATGAACCGATACTACTTTGCGAAGACTTGTGAAGACCGGGCCGGAGTTGGAAAGAGATGCCGTCAAATCAACAACCGACAAAAGCGAAACCAAGGCGTTCAGCCTGATCTTACAATCGTTCAATTCATGACCTTTAAAATTTGGCAGTGGTATCGAACAAATAGTGGCTGTCCCCTTGCGCACGAATGCTTTTGCTCTTCTGATGATCATTTGCGCTATGTCGTGGGCCTCTATCTCCGCACACCCTTGCATCGACGCAGTGAGTATAGCAAACACGGTTGCAGAGCTTTCTGGGATCCATGGCCGACATGCTTTATGCACAGCTATCGATCCTTCACACAATTGGAACTCTGGAAAATGCTTCACGGCTTCAATCTCATGATCAAATCTGGCCTGGAACTCAGTTTGGAGCATTTTCTCGGCTTCAATGAGGTAAACGATGCGCAAGTCAACGTCTGAATGTGAAACTATTCTCGTGCGATGGCATCGACTGACTAACAAAGCATTGAACAAAGATAGAATCAAAGAGGATGGCTTAGTTGATGTACAATTAATGTTTCGTCTCAAGAGTCGGAGGATTGGCAAGTGGCTGCTCTGAAAAATGTCCAGTAATGGTTGAGAGACTCCATCAACGAAAGCAGTTGCGAGAAACGCGCTCTCTTTATCGAAGCGTTCTAGAAAGAATCGTGTGCAATGGTGAAGTATTTCTTCCAGAACTGGATGAAAGTCTCGTCCCATGATTGCAACTTCAGAAACTGTAAAGGATGGCGCCGCCATGCGATCGAAAGCCATGGACCACCTTTGCGCTGCTGCCTTCAGCCTGCAAAGAACTTGGGCTGTAACATCACTTGTGTCTGTACAGTCGTCTTTCCAGCAACATTTGCATGCCCCAGAGTTGCTGAAGAGGGTCGATTCCATACTACAGTCAGCATATCTGAGAACTTCTTGTTTAGGCCTTGCGCAAGGGAAAGCAATTCATGAGAGGGCCACTCTTCGAGATTCTCTGATGGGAACAACCTGCAATAATCTTCAATACTCGATCGTGTCTTCGTGGTTGATAAACGTATATACTGCTGGACGACCTCATTGAAGGAGATTGGTTCATGATTCCTCAGAAACTCTAAAAGTTCCTTCTGATTCAATAGTAGCGCATCCCGAAGTATTTCAAAATTGGATGCGGGGTCTTCCAACAGTTGGATACTCAGTGATAAGCGATCCTTGATTCGGTACAAAGCTAGTTGTAATAAGCCGTCCAAATGTGTCCTAGCGCTTTCGCAAGGATTTAAGTAAGTGTTGGCGTTAAGACGCACGAAAGATAGCTTTGATGAGAGCGTCTTCAAAGCATCTTTGAACTCATCGGAGTGTGGGTTCGATTCTTCTATGTATGATTGCAGGCTCGTTGGGTAAGCCAATTGCTCAGAGAACGTGGCGATGTGACTTTCGATAATATTTATCGAATTGGCTTCTTCTCGAAGCTTGCAAACAACCTGACCTGATGCGATCAACGACGAGTAACAATTTTGCAGTGATTCAATCGTTTCATCCATGGTATGCTCGATGACATCCAAACGTGCAACTGCATCATCGAGGACTGTGATACACTGGTCAAATTGATCACTTGAGTCGAACAAAGATTCCCCACTATCGAACGTTTTTCGTGGGTCCTCGTTGTAGTCACTCGCTTTCAAACTCAGATCGGTACTTGGAGTAACAGATATTCGCTGCTGCTCTAAGTCCGAGGGGTCCATTAGGGAGAGGTCTACGTTGAGCACATCTTCGCATATCTGTGCAATTTCCAACCAACTGGCCGAGGTGTCGCAGAGTGAATCGCCCGAAGAGTGCATGAGTGATTTTATGGGCGTTGACTTTCCTGCACTCGCGAGTTAGCGGTGTATGTGATGCAACGCTTACCAGTCGACAACAAGACTGAGAAGCAAAGGCGTTGTACCAGTTGATCAGCAGATGAAATCCGGCGAGGGCGCATCTCGTGAAACATGGCAGCGGTTGTGGTGGGCAAGTCTTGGAATGGTATTGACTGCAGCTACGAAGTTCATGGTGGAGTGAAATTTCGTTCACTTCATGTCAGAAACGGAAACGTTACATTCGGAATTCGTTCATGTCACTGGGTGTGACACAACTCTTTCAGATCTGATCTTATGTAGAGCCAGAACTCGTATTCTCAAACTGTAAACAGTTTGAGAATACGAGTTCTGGCTCTACCTATCCGCGATTTCGGGTTGTTTTTTCATTTTTGCTTTTTGCTTGATTATTCATGCAGAAACTGAGAAACTTCATGATTCTTCATGAAGAAACGACTTCAGGCAATGGTAGCCACGACTTACACGTTACATCGCCATGATGGAGATGGGCTACAGGGACCCTAAGAAGGCATGGGGGATCTCGATTTCGATGGTTGATCGCGATTATCGGTGGGTCGCCTGAAGAAGGCCGAAGTGGTGATTTTTTCATTTTGCAGCATTATCTGGCAGTTTTTGCGCGCAATTGCGCGCAAAAACATGATTTAATGAAATCGCGGCTACCTACAGTACTGTACTGTACACGTGTAGCTCGTCCAGACATTACAGAAAAACAGACAGCTTCTTTGGCGAGCTTGATCCCCTCCGCGACCATTTTGGTGTCTCATTGCTGGACCAGATATCTCGAGGTGAGTGTACAGTACACAGATCTTCAGTTTTTTTCTAAAAATGTGTACACAATAGCTGCCCAGAAATTACAGCTGATCTTCCTTCTTTACTATCAGCATATTCAGACCAATAGGAGATCGCTATGTGCCTGCGCCAACAAATTGGTCGAGCTTTAGCGTGACGAGCGATCTTCAAGATGTACACTTGGCGCTCTCTCGTCGTGCACCTGGGCATCCACACTCTTGTGCTTTGACTTTTCCGTGGCGGAACGCTAAAGAAGGAGATCGTGCGCCCCTGTCGAGGGGGATCCTACGCATTTCAGCAGTAAGAAAAGGTCAGCACTGTTTGTCCAGGTCAAAAATTCTACCCGTAAACAGCAGCACGACCTCGTGTGTTCAGCCCGTCGTTGAAAGAATTTGGCGAATGACGGCCTGTTTTTCGTCCACTGCTCATCAATCCATTTCTTTCTCACAGAGTCTTTGCTTGATAAGCTTATCTCCTCCAATTGGCCTGTCATGACGCTGACCCCAACGCTTCGTCGACCACGGCACGCATTTCTTTCGCCTTCACCTGTGCTTCCCCGACGTCACGTTCCATCACTGATTCGGCTGTCACCCTATCGCCCCGAGAAATCTCGTCGATTGCTCTGTGCCTGCTTGAAAAGCGCTCGCCCCGACACCGATCCGGCGAGTCAATACGTTCCGCTTCATGTCCATTCCGACTTCTCCCTTTTGGATGGTGCCAGCCAATTGCCATCACTTGTCCAAAGGGCCGCCGAATTGGGTGTTCCTGCATTGGCACTCACGGACCATGGTGTGCTTTACGGGGCAATTCAGCTTGTTCGTACCTGCACCAAGGCTGGCGTCAAGCCTATCATTGGCAATGAGATGTACATCATCAACGATACGTTTGATGCCGAACCGTCGGAGGAATTCGGAAAGCAGAAGGCACCTAAACGATATCATTTGATTGTTCTCGCCAAAAACACAATTGGCTATCGCAATCTTGTTAAGCTTACGACGATGGCGCATCTTTCGGGAAAGGTAGGGAAGGGCATTTTTGCTCGACCATGCATCAACAAGGCTCAGCTATATCAGCATCGCGAAGGCCTTATCGTGTCAAGCGCTTGTTTAGGAGGTGAGATTCCGCAGGCCATACTCAATGACGATATAGAATCAGCGGCTACAGTTGCGACTTGGTACAGGGATGTATTCGGAGAGGATTTCTATCTTGAAATCCAGGACCATGGGAGTGCAGAGGACAAGAAAGTGAATCCGTGCATGGTTGAACTTTCTCGAACTCTCGGTATCAAGGTTATCGCCACAAACGATAGTCACTTTACCAACTGCCTTGACGCGGAAGCACATGATGCTCTGATCTGCATACAGACTGGTAAGCTTCTAACTGATGAGAATCGTCTACACTATGCTGGCAATGAATACTTCAAATCTGTCGAGGAGATGCGAAAGTGTTTTACTGATCACCTGCCGAGAGAAGCCATTGACGAGGCTTTATACAATACCATTCATGTTGCGGAGAAGGTGGGTAAGTATGACCTGTTTGGGGAAACGAGAATCCCAGACTTCCCCATTCCTGACGGATTCGGAAAGTCACACAACAGCTATTTGAAACTTGTGAGCCGTGAAAATTTGAGAAGCAGATTGGACGCTAGGGAAAAGGCTGGGCTGGTAGACCCCGAAGCCGAGCCGCAATACTTTGAAAGACTCGAATTTGAACTAAACATGATCTGCCAGATGGGCTTCTCATCCTACTTTTTGGTTGTGTGGGACTATGTGAGACATGCGAAAGAGCTCGGGATCCCGGTCGGTCCAGGGCGTGGGTCTGCTGCTGGTTCTTTAGTAGCTTTTGCTTTGAGAATCACAGATGTCGACCCGATTCCGTTCAATTTACTGTTCGAGCGATTTTTGAATCCTGAGCGGAAGAGCATGCCCGATATTGATACGGATTTTTCAGTCAGAGGAAGGGAAAAGATCATTGCTTATGTCAGCGATCGATACGGGAAGGACCGAGTTGCCCAGATTATTACGTTTAATCGGCTAACCAGCAAGGCAGTTTTGAAAGATGTCGCCAGAGTACACAGCGTTCCGTACTCTGAAGCAGATCGTCTAGCTAAGCTTATTCCGGTTGTTCGGGGGAAACCTGCAACACTCTCCGCAATGCTCTCTGACAAAACACCAAGTCGAGACTTTAGGCAAATGGTTGAGCAAAACTCGAGTTACCAGACCTGGATCGACAAGGCCAAGCGAATTGAAGGTACAAATAAAACCTACGGCATTCATGCTGCGGGCGTCGTCATTTCAGCGTCTCCTTTGACTGATATCGTGCCGTTGAGTAGGGCAAAACATGGTGAAATGATCACGCAGTATGCGATGGAAGATGTCGAGGATCTTGGTCTGTTGAAAATGGATTTTCTGGGGCTTAAGAACCTTACCGTGATTGAAACAGCATTGGAGTTCATCAGAGATGGAAGAGCGAAATGTGGGATTCATGAAGAGCTAGACTTCTCCGTTGATTCTCTCCCGCTTGACGACGAAAAGACGTACCGTCTTCTGGCGGAGGGTGAGCTGGATGGAATATTTCAGTTAGATGCCTCTGGTGGTATGAGGGCGATTGTGAGGGAGTTGCGCCCTTCTAGTCTGGAAGATATTTCATCAATACTTGCCCTGTACCGACCAGGTCCTCTTGACGCCGGCTTGATCCCGAAGTTCATCCGACGAAAACACGGAATCGACCCGATTGAGTATGACCATCCTCTGCTGGAACCAATACTCTTGGAAACTTATGGCATCATGGTGTACCAAGAACAGATCATGCGTATAGCGCGGGACTTAGCGGGCTACAGTTTAGGCCAAGCAGACATCCTGCGGCGAGCGATGGGGAAGAAGAAGACAGCTGACATGGAGAGGGAGCGTCCTAGATTTGTGGAGGGCGCAAAGGAAAGAGGGCTCTCAGAAGAAAAGGCAATCGAACTCTTTGACATGATGATCAAATTCGCGGAATACTGTTTCAACAAATCCCACTCAACTGCCTATGCCTATCTCACCTACCAAACCGCTTATCTGAAGGCAAATTATCCGGTCGAGTATTCGGCAGCCCTTTTGAGGTCGAACATGAATCAATCTGACAAACTCGTCAGGTATTTGGCTGATGCGAACACATCGGGCGTTCGCGTAGCTCCCCCGTGCGTGAATAGGTCTGACTTGGGTTTCACGGTAGATCGCAGCGAGACAAGTAGTGGAATCGTCCTTTTTGGTCTAGAGGCCGTCAAAACTGTTGGAGGATCAGTGGGCCATGCACTGTTGGAAGAAAGAAACGCAAGGGGCACTTTTATGAATATCATTGATCTTGTAGAACGGGTGAACCTGCGTGTTCTTAACAAGAGGGCTATGGGTGCACTGATCAAAGCAGGTGCCTTTGACAGCCTTCATTCAAATCGGAAAGTTCTGCTAGATTCTCTTGACGGTATTCTCGTCCTTCGGAGAAAGCTCAGAGATCGGCAGAAGCGCCGACAGACAAAAGGCTTATCCGACGAGGAAATGGAAAAGGCAAAGGAGGCTGATGTATTGCTTTGGGAGGAAGCCGAGATGCAACTAACTAGAGACAGCGAAAGTCTTCCCGACTTTTCTTTGTTAGAGCGACTGGCTGGGGAGAAAATCACGTTGGGGTTCTACGCTTCTGGGCATCCTCTTTTCAACCTGCAAGAGATTCGTAAGGCTCTTGGTTGCACACGCCTCGATCACATTGTTGGTGATGCGTCAGATGAAGAAAATGCTTATGAATCATCAAAGCCCGGTGGGAATCATTCGATACCGGATGGAAGTGAAGTTGCCATTCTATCGTGTGTGACTGAACTGAAAAGAATCACGACGGCGAAAGGTAAGAAAATGGCGAAGTGGGTGTCTGAGGATTCCTCAGGACGACTAGCCACCGTCGTGTTCCCGGGGTCATACGACATCATGGAACAGATCATTCAAGATAGCTATTGTGTCGAGACAGAAGGGTCGGCGCCAGAAGCACAAGCGGTCGGAGATGGGCCCGTTGTCTCAAAGGCTTCCATGGTCGTAGAAGAGGACGCCCGGGTCATTGTTTGGGGAAAAATTGATCGCGAATCATCCGGAACTGCTCAGATCATTGTTGATGACGTGCAAAGAGCAAACGGTGTTAAGGCAATAGTAGCAACGGCGCCTTTCAGCAAGATGAGGTCTCCCTTGACACAACTGCAAGTACTTCGACAAACAGCTGCAAAATTACTTGAAGTTGAACTTTCGAAGCCGAGATTCAGCTCATATGTAGATGCCAACGGCGAACTCAGGAAGAGGCGTTGGTCAAAAGCTGTTCCTTTGAACAAGAAGAACCGGGTACCACTGGTGCTTGAGTGTGTTGATGGCGAGGGGAAGGTTGTTTCACTGGCGAACGCAGGGAATAGCCTCAGATTTCCCCTTGACTGCGAAGATTTGCTGCAGTCGCTTCGGTCAAGCACCGGTTTTGAAATAGAGATGAGATCGTTTGGCGAAGATCACATCAAAAGGGACACCGAAGGTCGAGGCCAGAATACCAGGCAAGCCCAAAAAGATGAAACAGTAGATTCCCACGCGGCAAAATCAAGCCAATCGGTTTCAGGTGGAACGAGTCGGATCAGCATTCCTTCCGCTGCAACCGATGTCTCGCTTGACTTAGTCTCGGCGACGACAGACTCGATGTCAGAGATTTCGAATCAGGTAGAAACTATACCCGAGATTTCACCAAGTCCAGCCTCAGAGAAGACTACAGTGGATATTAATTCAGACGGGAATGGTGACTCTGTTGCCGAAGTACTAGAAGAACCGCGACCAAATGTATCTGTGATGGGCGTCAATCTGACACCAGCTGAGCACGCGGAATTCTTGACTGCGTCCAAGCACCTTCGGGAACGCAAATTCGAGCAAACTCTAACGCCAGTCACTGCGACAAATAGGCTAGAAGCGTCTTTGTTGGCCAGTACTCGTATGGGGCGTCATGCTCGTCGTGATGCCAAGAGCCAACGCGCATATGCCCAGGCTGCTGTCCAACCTGACTTCAGACGAGAGCGAATGAGCAAGCCGATTGAAGGAGGGTCTATTCATGGGGGGCCGCTTGTCTCTTCAGCACTTCAAACTACGCTGAACCCCGTTAGTGCCTCCTTGGCGGGAGATAGAGATGATATCGCCTTGGAAAAGAAAGGGGACGAGACCGAACGTGAAAAGTTTCCTAGAAATAACAACGTAACAGCTAAGGTTGCTGTGCGTTTCATGGAAAGGTCTTTGTCGCTTCCGAGCACATTGCGAAACACCTCTAACGGCAGCAAGTTCGAAAATGGAGTATCAGTGAAACTGCCTCAGACCCGGGCAAACGCAGATCATTTTCCTGAGACGGACAAAGTCGATGCAATGCTTTCAGCATCCTTTGAGAAGAACACACAGGATGGACTCGAGGTGTCGTATGACAAGATCGGTTTTCATGGCCTACTGGATGCCATCGCTTTGGTCGCTGGGGAGACAGCAAGGACCAAAACTGGCTCCAAATGTTCTGTTTGTGGCGTGAGCGGACTGGATATCACCAAGTTAAGTGAAACCGGTATCTCATTGAAGGTGTCAGGACATATTGGATACACAAAAGGACAAATTGTGTATGTCTTGGTAGACGTACGAGAGACAAAACCGAGTGGGAAACGGAAAAGGGTAAGGTCATTCGATCATGTTGTTTGCATGCTGCAGGCAGAAACGGAGCTGGAGGCTGTCACCCTTAAATCTAAAAAGTCTGTGAAGCGAGTAGGTATCGCGAGACTGCGACTGGAAAAATCAGCTACAGACGGATGTACGGAAGTCCATGCCGACGACCCACAAAAGATATCTTCAAGGGCGAGGAAGACGATCGTCAAGAGCTCAAATGCCGACTTCATGGTGACAACGGTCTATAAAGGCGGCGAGTTTCTCAATCTGCAAGACGGAGGGCAGATTCTTTCCAGCTTGTCCCGTGCAGCTCAGATTTGTCTGAACAGAGCTTTACACCAAGATGATGGGTCCTTTGTTACGAGTTTAGATGGCTTCGTGGTAGACGATCCGAAGGTGTTGAGCATGGGTGCCCAACCACTGGTGACTGGGGCCTCTCTCTCGATCCGTGTCCATTTAGAGGGCACCTGCTACGCAACGAGCAAAGTCCAAGCAGAGGCATTGGTGAGAATCAATGACAAGGGGTCAACGTCCTGTCAAGCAAGTTTTAGGGTGCTTTCCCGGAAACACGATCGTATGCGCTCAGTTGGAGTGGTTGCAAATGAAGACCCGCTGTTTGATGGGGCGCAGATATCAGACTTCTTTCGCCTGCATGCGGAAGTGTTACGCACCTGAAAACGGTACGCGGTTTTAGTTCCTGCGGATAAATTAATGCTCTTATTCATATATCGTAGAATAACGGATATAAACTAACTTGTACAAACCGCACGTCGATTGTCTGAACTCTTCTCAAGCTTCTCTATACTCTTTGGCATCTCTGGTGCTGCACAGCTTTCGCGCGTTAGGACACCCACTAAATCGCTGCCGTGAATTTCACTCTAAAGTACATTCTGGATTGATTGCAGTCACGGTGCAAACCGCAGGCATCCTAAGCCTTGCACTGTATTCAGCTCCTGTTCGAAAGTTATATTGCCCCCTCACGAATCTCCCTTGCTTCTTCTTCGCTCAGTTTAAATAGCTGCAGAAATTCTTCTTCTTGTAAAGTCTTGACATTAAGACGCTGCGCTTTAAAATACTTTTGCCCCGGCTCCAATCCAACCACCACGTAATCAGTCTTTCTTGTTACATCGGTCCGGACTACACCCCCAGCCTTCGTTATCAGCTTCTTCAACCGATTTCTAGACGTCCTTGCGATCTTTCCGGTAAACACAAACGATTTTCCCGCGACTTCTCCAGATGCAGAAACTGACATATCTGGTATCGCATCTTCCTCATCCACAATGCTCTTACAACGGACATTCTCCATCAAAGCCTTAATCTCTGCCTGAGTCCTTTCTCTCCTCAGGAATGAATGGACAGCATGAGCAGTCTTCTCCGCGAAATTTGGAATAGTTATGAGGGAATCCGCTTCATCTTCATGCAACGCAATCTCTAACAGCCTTTCAATCGACATGACATTTTGCGCAAGAGCTCGTGCGCCTGTGCGCCCGACCGTTGGGAGTCCGAGGCCAAATATAAGATTCTCCAAACTTCGTTGCGTCGAGGCCTCACGAATTGAATCAAGTAGAGTTTGGGCGCTTTTCTCTGCAAACCCTTCCAGGCTGAGAAGATCCCCCAGCGTGAGACGAAACAGGTCTGCGAGAACAACAATATGGCCTGAATCAATTAGTTTGTCAGCCGTCTTTTTGCCGAGGCCTCTGATATCCATTGCATCTTTCGCAGCAAAGTGAATGAGTCGTCCGTGAACTTGGGCTAGGCACTTTTCTGCGTTTTGGCACTCGACAGTACTAGACCCGGTTAAATCATCAGTCTCAGAAAGTACCTCGCCAAAACAAGATGGGCATTCAAGGGGAGGTTGAAGTTCTCTGCGTTCCATGGAAGAACTTCGACGTTCTACTTTCACTATCTTTGGAATAACGTCACCGCCTCTCTCCACCCTCACGTCATCACCAACGGCCACACCCAGTCTTTGGACTTCGTCGAAATTGTGGAGAGTCGCTCTGGAAAGAACAGCTCCACCAACACGCACAGGTTTCAGGATAGCAACTGGAGTTATTACCCCATTCCGCGAGACTTGCATGACGACATCTTCAAGTACTGTAACCTTCGACTGGGCTGCAAATTTTAATGCTACTGCTCCGCGAGGAGCCCGAGCTGTGTGCCCTGCAGCTTCGCGAGCCCTAGAATCGTTAAATTTAAGAACCACTCCATCAACCTCCAGGGGAAGGCTTCGTCGATCTTCTTCCACCACATTGGCAAATAGTTCAGCAGTTGTTAGGTCACCACAACGCTCGAATCGCGGCATTTTCCCAAAGCCCCATTCCGCCAGCCTTTTCAATGTCTCCGACTGTGTGGGCCACGTGTTTCGAAGAGTAGGAAAGGGCTTCTTGCCAATCATGGTTGAATTTGAGGATGTCTCGACATCATCGCTTTTCATGAGATTTCCATTCAAACATTCGTATGCCACAAAACTTAGTTTGCGGGACTTGGCTTCAGATGGTAATTTGTGTTTTAGAGCACCTGCAGCTGCATTTCTTGGATTACTTAGCTTATTCTTTAAAGCAGCATTCACTTCCTCAAAATCATGAGGGGCGATGTATGCTTCTCCTCGCACGAGTATCAAGTCAGGGGCTAGAGGGTCCTCAATGGCGTCCACGACGCCTCTGCCGACGAGTGCAGCCCTTACATTATCCGTGATGTCTTCACCAATCCTGCCGTTCCCTCTCGTAGCTGCTGCAGCAAGCTTGCCATTGTGGTACTCGAGTGACAAAGCGATGCCGTCTACCTTCAATTCCGCCGATATATCGGAATTCGCGTCTGCAGCACGTCTTGCAAAAGAAACTAAATCGTCGTGCTTGTAGGCATTATCTAGCGACAACATGAGAGCCTTGTGGCGGTATTGAGGAAAGCGCTTTTCTGTGATAGGCACGGTGGCTGCAAACGAATCACGAGCAGTGATCGGTTTGTCAGCAATTTCGCTGTCAAGCCCCAGCTTGGACGATCGCGCAGCGGCCCCATGTCCGACGTTTTGACTCGGCGATTCGGGACGTATGAGCTCTGGAAAAAAACGTTCCAGCTCTATCAAGTGCATGATAAGCTCATCGTACTGTTCATCTGATATTCGAGGCTTTGGGTTATCGGAATAATACAATGAGTCGCACAACATAATTTCATCCAATAGTTTCATGTACACTTTCCCGATGTCCGGAGTGAGCTTGACCTCTTCATCGTACGCTACTTTATCCACTCTTTCCAAAAATCGAGCTCTTAATACGTGCAGCAACATATCCGCTTTACCCCCGGACAGCATCCCTGTTATTCGTTGGGCGATTTCTCTCCCAACAGGGCTGGCGACATAATTTATTCGAGCCTCGCGCTCGGCTTCAGTGCGTTTCGAAGAGCCGAAAGGATGCAGTCCGACGCCCGTTCGATCGCCAAAGCCCTGTGGCGTAATCTTCTTGGCTTTTTCTTCTTTGCGAGCAATCTTTTTTGCATCCAACCTGAGTTTCCGTCTTGTCTGTTTGTCTATTTCAGGATAGGAACGAATATCCGAAACTTTTCGGGTAATGGCTTGGATTGAAATTCTCGGGCGACTTCTGGGAGTTGTTGATATAGAAGACAAGGAGGGGATGGCATGTAGTAGTGGCTTGGAAAACAGTCGATAAGCATTTCTCGGTACTGGACTTCCTACGAAAGCAGCGCAAAATTGCTTTGTTTCCTTTTCCCCAGTTCCGTCATTAGTGGTATTCATGAATGTGGTCCTCGTGGGTCGGGAATAGGACGATCAATTGTGGGGGGAGATGCTTGTAGAGACGCCAACTGGTTCAGCTACTGGTAGTATGTTTCCCGAAGCTGGGAGATAAGCAATCTGCTGTGGTTGGTGATTCTTGGGCGCCGGCCTTGCATGCAGCTCTTGCATTGCTGTGTACCTAATTTTAATTCAAAATTTCCACCTCACGATGAGAATCTGAGCCCTGGCGAAGATCAAACAGCCTCTTTTGCCTCATGAACGGTTTAGATCAGGTGCGCAGGTTATGCCATTGATTCAGGGACCATAGAACATCGCCGTGAGAAGCTTCAGAGCCTCGCCATATCTGTAGCGGCTCTCACGAAAAGTCCCCTGAAGAGCGGCAGATGCTAAACTCTTCAACGGGCAATTCGAAGTAGTGACATCACATCATTGCAGTGCGCACAAAATCTACAGGCTTTTCTTTTAGCAAAGTGTCCATGCCCATGGATCTCTCAAAATTATACCTGAATGTATACAACACGAGTCAAGGATTCCTATGGATGCGAGTACTTGTCTCCATTTTATGGTTCCTTTTACTCCGTCTCTTTCGTCCCAACAATTCCTGGACACTGCAAGAAGTGTACTACATCTACATTCCATATGCGCACCGTGGGCAGTCCTTGGCGTGGCTAGAAGTGATGCACGCGGCTTTCGGTCTTGCCGGAGGCGGTGTCGCAACAGCATTTGTGCAGTGCTTGGGCAGGTACGTCGTTCTTGTTTACGTCGTTGAGCCCATTGCCTTCATGCACTCAGCTTGGGTGACGACAATCATGCTTTTCGCTTGGGCTCTGGCTGATGTTGTCCGCTACCTGTTCTACATCCAATCTTATCTGAGTCGTCCATGGCAAACTGTGCTATGGTTGCGTTATTCTCTGTTTTTAATTCTGTATCCCATCGGTATTGTGTGTGAATGGCTTATCTACTACTTCACGCTTGAGTATGTAGACAGCCAAGAGCTCTTCGCCGTCAGATTGCCCAACGCATGGAATTTTGCATTTGACTTTGGGATCTGGAATCGAATTGTTTTGCTGATGTATTTGTATTTTGGGGTATTTATGTTCACGCACATGGTGCAACAACGAAAGAAGAAGCTTCCTGCCGTTCGCTAGATCAAAAGACGAGCTCCGTGCTATGCGGGCCTCTGGGCATGCTCGTTGACCTCTTGAAGCCCAATCTACGGGACAGATTGCAGTCTGTAAATATCCTCACGACGTTGTTGAGACGTTGGAATAGACTTTCGCACCGTGTCTAGACGCCCAAGATCAATTGTTGTGACGACCAGCGCCGGCTTTTCATCAGCACTTGCCAGCACGGTACCCCACGGATCCACGACCATTGAGTGTCCCCACGCGGTGTACCCGTCGCCACCTTCGCTCCTGGAAGGAGAACAGGCAGCGACGAAGACCTGATTATCAAGCGCCCTCCCTCGCAGTAGCAGTTCCCAGTGGGCGGGCCCGGTAGTCATATTAAAAGCACCCGGAAAGACTAGGACCTTTGCGCCAAGTTCTCTCGCCTGAAGCATGGCAAGCTCAGGGAATCGGACATCATAGCAGATCCCAACGCCCACAGTACAGTCAATCTCGGGAGCGAAAAAGGCTGTCGCCGACCCTCCCGGTGACAGTACGTCGGATTCCTTGAAGCGAATTCCTCCAGGAACATCAATATCAAAAAGATGGGCCTTGCGATGCTTGGCAACGACTGTACCGTCTGGTGATACAGATAGCGAGGAGTTGTATATGTTTCCATCGTTGGCAATCTCCGGGACCGAGCCACCGACAATGAACATCTTGGTCTCCTGGGCTGTCTGGCGCAGCATTTTCAACGAAGGCGAGGAATGATCTTCCGTGGGCTTGAAACCAACGGCGGGGAGCTCCTCCGCATACTCGCGGAAACAGGCTGTGTCGTACGGGCAGTTGAAGCATTCAGGAAGAACGGCGAGAGAGGCACCTGCGGCAGCTGCTCGCATCAAGTAATCACGCGCGACGGCAATGTTTTCCTCTTTGTCTAGGGTTACCGGTGTCTGGCATAGGGCCAGCTTGAAGGGGCTCGCAGGCGGGCTCGATGGCACCTTGTTTGGCGTGGAAGAAGACATCAGGACTGCGGAGCGTGTTGAGCAAAGGAAACGGGGACACGAAATCGAAGAGATTGCAAAGCGGGATGCAAGGTGGTGGCGAGTGAATAGTTGTGATTTCGATGAGAGCGCGGGGGAAAGGAAAAGCCAGGCTAAGCTGGACCGTTGCATGGGAAAAGAATTTGTGGTGACCTCAGTTCGCGGGCTATATCACTTCTTTCCTGGTCCTCTCTATTGCGATGTCGCATGAGATTGTCGGACGGAGCTCGGATTCGAGGTGAAGGGGCTAATAGGAAAAGACGCTAACGCTATGCTCATTTTTGTGACTATTAAAATTGCGCCCCGATCGGTTCTAACCGATCTTTTTTGCATAAGTCGGCAACGGATAAGAGTTGAGCAACTAAAAGTTGCTTGTTGAAAGGCACGAATCGCTGCGGTCACGTCAGTGCGAATTTTGCCGCAAACGGTTTTGCAAGGGTGAGCTACCTTCGAAGGTAAGGCGCGACAGAGTGAGTTCATTTGGTCCGCTGAAGTGACTGGGACACGAAGTTGACAAAAAATCACGAAAATTGTCTACAAAGTCATCCATTGAACCGGGTCTATCAATGCTATACAATTGCTGGATCTGCTCTCTTGCACCGTTCCTACTCAATCCTCCAATCACATGTGCTTTTCGAGGATCTTCCAAATTTAAACAGCTGACCGCGATTTCTGCACAAGCAGTATCCTACGTGTACCCTGGCACTCCCCCCTGACGGAAATCACGGTGCAAACGACAGCGGGCACAGACGAAAAATTCACCTCCAGCTCATATTTTCATGACCGCGCTCTCTCTCTCTCACAACTCGTTTGGCATACTGTACCCTTGGGTACCAGCAGTGTTGATTCCGTGCACACTGGTTTCGGTGCGGTTGTACGGCAGGAATGCATTGCCACGCCGTCACCCCCAGCCCTCGCATAGCTCATGACAACCTGATTTCTTCTTTACACCGACCTGGTGGAGGCAGTCGCTTCCCAGTTTCTCGCCCAGTTTCTCGCCAAGACATTCCGTCGCGCTCCAACATTGCCAGCGAATCACCAGACGCATCCACCGCTCGCAAGCTTGATCTCGGATCCATGCATCTTGCTCCTTGACCCATTGCCTTCATCTCTCACGTGAGACACCATGAAGTACGCAGCCTTTGCGCGTTGGTGGTCCACCCCGCCCCTAGGCGGTCGCTCGATGCATGCGTTGCGAGATATGGCGCGACCCTCCATGCGCCGTTGCCCGTGCACATGCCTTCGCCGCGCATCCTCATCCATGGCCTCACCGCGCGCTCCAGACGCCGACAAACGATCGACTCTAGAGCAGCTCAGACACGGCCGGCCATTCGCGCGCGAGTGCTGGCGCACGGCGATAGAGCGCACCGACCTTCCCGTCGCGATCGACACCACGGCTGGTCGCGGGTCGGACACGATCACGCTCGGGCACCTGGTGGGCGGAGAGGGCGTCGTGTATGCCATGGACATCCAAGCCACGGCCGTCGAGGAGACGCGGGCACGGTACATGGAGGAGAGGGGACGAGGCGTGCCTATGGGAGAGCTGCGGCTGTACGAGCGCAGCCACGAAGAGTTGGACTTTCTCGCGCTCTCCAACCGGTCCGTCGCGTGCGTGGTGTACAACCTCGGCTGGTATCCCGGGCAGGCTGCCGATCGCAGCATTATCACGACGGCCGCATGCACGGTGGCGAGCTTAAGGGCGGCGGAGGAGCTTGTCGCCGTGCACGGGATCATCTTCGTGACAGCGTACCGGGGGCATAGCGGGGGGCAGGAGGAGGAGGAGGCGGTGACGGAATGGGCGAGGGGGTTAACGATCGGCGAGTGGAATGTGATGAATGTGGGGTATCCGAATCGGGCGAAGGCACCCACAATGCTGATTTGTGAGCGGATCGCGGAGAGTTAGGTAGGGTCTAGGTAGAGACTAACAGTGGTGTCAAGGGATTTCCAATTGACGATTGGAACCTCGGTGCATACTCGACCTGGCATCCATGCGGCACGGCATGAGACGGAAGGTCATCTCCCTCCTGGTATAAGACGACGTAATTCCTCCTGCGCAAATCCAGAGCCTGATTCGCAAGTTGATCGGCCACTCGATTCTCCTCTCTCGCGACGTATGTAAAGTGGCACTCCTCAAACCGGTGCGACAAGTCTCGGAGCAGGGTGTGAAAGCGCTTGAGGCGCTGATTCCTGACAGTGTACCTGCTCTGCATTTGTCTGACGAGCAGCTGGCTGTCCGAGAATACGACGACGCGGGCGACGCTCAGGGCGCGGGCCAACAGCAGGCCTTGCACACAGGCGCGGTACTCGGCGACGTTGCACGTGGACGGGCCGATGAAGGACGACAGCGCCGCGCGCAAGCGCCCGTGCGGCGTGTGCAGCGCAGCGCCCACACCGGACGGGCCCGGATTGCCGCGGCTGGCGCCGTCTGTGAAGAGGTGGAACGCCGAACGGGGGACGCGCTTCATGGCGGAGGCGCGAGAGGGGAGTCACAATAGGGGGGAGAGAAGCGGCGGAAGGGTTGGGAGGAGGGTTAGAAGAGCTTCGGATGCCGTGGCGTCGGTGTTGGATGCGCCTAAATTCACACGTATTTTAATCCAACCAAACTGTAATTTTAGGGTTGCTGCCCGCGGTCGTCGGGAGATTACCGAGCGGCGGCCGAGGGAATAAAAACCGGGGGACTCGCGCGAGGAAGAAGGGATCCCCGGGGGTAACAACTTGAGTACCCGAACACTTCGCCGGCTGCCCGCTTCTCGTTCCCTCACGCGAGGACCCACTGCCCCTCTCGACCGCCTCGCTCGCTCTCGCGGTTACCACGCCGCTGCCGCCCTGCCCCGAGCATCTTCGTCCCCTGGCGCTCGGCTCCCTCCGCCACCGCGCCGCTGAGGCACGGATACTAAACGAACCTCTCCCGTCCTTCCAACCCGTGTCTGCCCCATTTATGGGCCCAGGAGATAAGAAGAGAAAGGAGAGATCCTCTCTTTCGGATCCTCCTTACTTTTCGCCAGATGGCGATATGCAGGATTGGCGCCGCAAGATTGGTCGATGGGTCGATGTTGTCAAAGCCGCCCACGACAATGGATCTGATCTCCACCTGATCAACAGGCCATGGTGGATGAGGCTCAAGCTAAGCGAGCCATCAATTACCTCCAAGTGGGCGATTTAGTGGCAGCCGTGAGGGATATTGTAAATACCATCGCCGCAGATCCTCCCATTGTCATGGTTTCAAGCCTAATCAACTCTTTTCATAAGGTAACGTCCTGTCGTCGAAGTCGTAACGAAGATCTTCGGGTCTTTGTGTCATGCTTCCGAGGGTTGGCGGCAACTGTGGGATAACTTCTCTCCCTAGGTTGGGTGAGGAGCGGAGGCTATACCGAATGAGCACGCGGCGCGGACGCGACGCGCTAATTGAACCGATCGGACGAGCTCGCGAAAAGGGAGTGCCTCACTGGCCGGTTACGCGCAGTCGCCCCGTGGTGCGTGACCGGGAGCGACCGGTAACGGGTTAGAAGCCAGCGCGCGCGATAGACAACCGAGACGGACGTATGTAGGCGCGAAAGGGACTGGGGCAAGCTTGCCCCAGTTTACTGGTGGGGACGGGTGCCAGGTCTTAACCCCTCAGAGGGACGCCTCGTACACCTGTCCCAGTACAGTAGTACAGTACCTGCCGCCTAGTGCGTGCCGTGTACTGTACACAATTTAAAAGCTAGCGCCATAATTACTACTACCGCACGGACGCTGCTACTACATGTATGCACTACTGTACACGCGTGTTACTTACAGACTACCGCACGAACGACACGTGTGCTACTGTACACGTGGGCCACGCCACGACCAGTCCGTACACGCGCGCGCTCCCTACACGTGGGTACACCCGCACATCTGTCCGCCCTGCACGGCCGCACGGTCAATAATCTCCCCGCTGGCGCGTCCGTCGTTATACTACAGCAACTCATTGCTGCATACCAACTCTTCCTCCTCCTCTTAGATGGGAGAGGTACTCGCGGTCACCCTCCTCAACAATGCTAACTTAGATGAGGGGACCCTTGTCAATGCCACCTCTGCCCTCATAACTCACGCAGAGGCGAGAGCAGAGAAAAAGAAGACGATGATACTGCCCAAGTTTGCAAGTAAGAGCTTGACAAGCTGTTCCACGTCGTCAATAAGCTCTCTGATTTGGAAAAGGACAGAAATGAACCAAGAGATACTGAAGAACGGCACAAGTACATGGAAACTTTCATTTCAAAGTGCATTGACTCTATCAAGCAGCTCTTTACAGCTGCAGAAGGCCTTAAGCACCCCGCCAGCGCTGGAAATCAACCCACGCACGTGGTCAGCACCTTCATATCGGATCAGGGTCTCATTAGTCTTAATTTGGATGACGGTGTGTAGGTTTTTCGTACCCTCACGCAACCAGCAAACTCCAGTATGGGAGGCAAGTATTCAGCTAGAGAGATCAAAGCTATGGTTGATCGTAAGGTGAAAGCTCTCTTGGAATCTTACAATCTACCAGGTGCCAAAAATCAGAGGGATTCTGCTGCGAACTCTTCCCAGAACCTCAACAAGAGACATCAGTCGAGAACACCCTAGCGGTCGATGCGGAGCAGCCCAAGATGCTCGAAACCTACGCGGAAGTCGTTAACTTTTTATTACGAGGGATCCGAAACGGTTGCCAGTGATCAGGCCGATGAACGACCTGTTCACCAAGGCCGTAGACTACCGCACGTATAGGCTGGAAAATCGCAGCTCGCGCTACGACGCAAGTTCCGCGCGGCGAGTTAACCGTTATCGGAAGAAGTTGGACGTCCCGCTGAAAACCCACACGTTCGGTGGTCAAGATCCAATTGCGGTGCTAGGGTTTCTCGAGCGCTTGAAGATGGCCTGCGACCACAATGGGGTCAGCGAAGGCGCGGCCGTATTGTGTTTCCAGTTCTAATTGACTGGGCAGGCTCACGCCTTCAAGGTGTGAGCCTGCCCAGTTGTAGTGCAGTGACTCTGCGCCCTTTACCCCTGGTCACCGCCGTCGCGGGGCCGCGTTCCCCGCCTTTGACACGTGTATCACACGTGTGCTCATCCAAAGTGTACGCGTACACTTTGGATGAGCCCACACGTGTATGCTGTTCGCTCCCGTCTATGACACGTGTACTCATCCAAAGTGTACGCGTACACTTTGGATGATACCACACGTGTATGATAAGCGCACCACACGTGTACTGTGCGCGCACACTTGGAAAGGTACCCCACGTGTATCACACGTGGCCACACGTGGCCACACGTGTATGACAGTCGTATGACACGTATATGATGCATGTACAACACGTGTACGACACGTATACATACGTGGTGCCCACAAGTTTCTACACTAATTAGCGTCTAATGCCAAGTGGCAATTCTAATGACGATAATTAATTATTAATTACCCATTTAGTAACGGACGCCGACGACGGCGCTCGGCCTATATAGGTCGGGTGTCGGAAGGCGCTACAGTAAAGAGGCATCAGGTGATCGGACCCCATCTCTGGTAGGATCCTCTACGGTTCCTATCTAGTTGGCTAAGTCTGGTACCTGCACCCTTCGTCGTCATCCTTTTTCTTGTTTTCCTTTACTTTTTTCCCTATTTTCTACGTTTCTACGCTACACTTCTCCTTCCTTCTTTCTTCTCCTTCTTGTTTTGTTCTTCTTCGACGCTGTCGATAGCGGTCCGCGACGCGACCGCCACCCCCATTCCTTCTAGTTACTCGATCCCAAGTACCCCTTCACGCGCTGACCGCGACTCTACCCGCGATTCTCGCGTTACCTCTGAGCTACCACGGACAGAGGGTCCCGAGCACCCTGGTGGTGACTGGACATACCGCTTTCCCTCATAGCGAGATTTACGCCCTCGTTGGCGAGTGTGTCCACTGCACTACACTACCTATTGCCGATATGACGGGCCTTCAGGTCCAAATTCCCTTCTACATGACCAAAGGAGATGGCCTCTTGCTCCTTGGCAATGAAATATGCCATAAATCGTACCGCTTGGGTCCGGAAAATCTTCTTGTGGTTCCGAAGGGCACAAGAGGTATCTCTCAATATTAACTTAGTTTTGAAACGTACTCCGACCCCACGTCTAGGCATGATTCTGGTGTTGTCCGTACATACCTGATGGTTGTGCTGTCAAAGCTCTGTGCTTTTAAGACATTGTTCTCTAGCTAGAAAGCATTGGCAGCGTTCCAAAGGAGCGAGGGTGACTACAGCCGCATTGAACAACGGAAAGATTGCTCGCAGATTCGCAAACAAGTTTCACTCATACGCCCATCTCCATGTTGACGAAATGATCACGCTGTGTCAACGTGAGGGTGTCCTCACTGAAGTGTTGCGTCAAGCCCTCCGCTCCACCTTCGATAAGTGTACATCATGCAAGTCGACTGGAAGACCTTTGCAATCGAAAAAGATTTCTATGAACAAAGTCCTCTCCACGTTCAATAGGCATGTCCAAGTCGACTTCTTCTTCATCATGGAGTTGACAGCACATCCCATCATTCATATTGTTGACACTCACACCGCATTCTCAGTAGCAGTGATAGTTCCATCCCGAGAGATGGGTATCTCTTCAAAGGCGTTGGGGTTGAATTGGATCAACATACACGGAGCAAGCGGAACAGTCTCTGGAGACATGCAGTTCTTCAATCGTATCTTTGCCCAAGCCTTGAGCTATTTCGGCATAAAGTTCGAAGCACGAGCTGCTCGTCGGCATTATAAGCTCGGTGTGGTGGAACGCAAAACCGCTGTTGTCCGCCTCCTTGCCAAAAGAGTTCTCAAGGACGCGCAGCACTTTGAACGGGAGCGAGATTCCACCTTTGAGGAAGCTGAAATTGTATCCCGGGCCACGTACATGAGCAATACACTGTACGGTTCCGAAAAGATGAGCAGCTTCGAGATGGCGAGGGGATATACCCCTTCCATCTCTGGACTCCCACAAACTCCTTTATCCCACCTTATCACGACTGCTCATCAAGAACAGCAAGCAAGACGTGCAATCAAGTCTCTTGACATAGGCAGTAGGCCAATCACGGTCAGACCGCGGAAACTTTCAAGGGGAGACCGTGTGTATTACTTCATACGTGGACCCAAGTTCGGGACTTGGGAGCTCGGACACGTCCGCGGCGTTGAGGATCACATCATCGTTATCTCCTCATCTGAAAAGCATCAGGGTAAGCCAATTAGGGCTGCCCTCGAAGATGTGCGTCTCGCTCCAGATTCTTCCCTACCCCGAGAAATAGATGAGATCAACTTCATATTCTCAAGGTCGTATTCTATTCTGAACGAAGATGATTCGGAAGATGACCGGATCCACGATGAACGTCTGCCGTCAATATTCCCAGAACTGGACACTGTCGACTTCTTTCCGAGTCAGCATGTTCAAAAAGGCCCTTCCTCGGACATGACGGCCGCTACAAAGATCACAGACGCTAGTCCCCCACCAGTAGGTGACAATGAGGATTCTAGTTGACATGAGAACCTTCCCAGTGATCCTTTGGCATCGACAGGAGATGTCGCGCCATCTTTGATCGAGAGCCTTCCCTTTGGGCGCAACATCCATCCACATCGGCTCTGCTCTCCGGCGAGAGACAAAAGCGAGCGGATCTGCCACACGTAGATATCGGCAGTAAGCTGATGTCGCTTCTCTGCGACTGCAGTTCCAGAGCAACAAATGACCTCTACGGAAGTCGTCGCGACCCTGGCCCAGACAAGGACATTGGTTCTGTTCCTGTCGTATCCCCTCCTAATCTTCCGCATGCCTTGGAGTCATCAGAGCAGATGATTCTGAAAGAAGTAAAAGGGGGTTATAGGAGACAGAACTGCTTCCGAGTCTTCTCTCCAGTTGGTTCCAAAGTGGGTCCTAGAGAAGTCTATGGACAAAGAAAGATCTGTATATAAGCAAAGCGTGAAGGAAATTGACATTCGATTTCTTCCACGTTCATCCAACGTCATATTGTCCCACCATTTCTTCCAGGTCAAGCACGATGGTGAAGAGGACAAGCTCAAGCTGAAGTGTCGTCTTGTTCCACACGGCAATCGGGATAGAGAGAAGGACTCCATCCGGTCCGATTCGGCTACAGCACAATTCCCAATCATCCGCATCGTCCTGTCTGTAGCCGCCACCCTTGGTCTTGTTCTAGCATCTATCGACATCAAAGGGGCCTACCTGCAAGGTGGTGAGCTTCCGCGGGACATCTACATGCGTCCACCTAAGGGCTGGGCTTCGCATTTCCGCATGGTCTGGAAACTGTTGAAGTGGGCCTACGGTCTGGTTGAATCGGGCCGTCTCTGGCAGCTAGTCGTTGAAGAATGGATGACGCAGCAGGGCATCGTAGAAGTGCACGGTCTCCAGCAGCCCTTCGTGCTGCGAGATCCACAAGGACACCTGCTCTTCGCAATTGCCAAAGTTGTGGATGACTTCTTGATCGCTGGGACCTGCTCTGCAATTGAAAAGTTCCACAGAGACATCTCTAACCGATTTGAAGTCGGGCGCTTCATCATAAACCGCGACTTGATTTTCAACCGCTTACGCATCCACCAGGACCCCGACTTCACTGTTCACGTTGACATGAAAGAGTACATGAGTGGCATTATCCCTCTCGAACTCTCTCGTCACCGCCGTAAGCAGCGCGAGCAGCCATGCACCAAGGCTGAGGTTACTTCGTTCCTCCGCCTTACCGGTTCGTTGAACTACCTTGGGCATGGCATCTTGCCTCAAGCTGCATTTGCCGCAAATCACCTCCAACAGATGGTCGGACGCCTCACCGTAGGTGACTTACATACTTCCAACGAGGCCCTCAGTGAGAATAAGAACCTTACTCCCCGGCTTCAGTACCGCTCATCCGACAAACTGGAAAATCCATCCTATCTGGGGGTTTCCGACGCCAGTCAAAGAAAGACAGCGTACGGGCAGACAGGCTACCTCTCTGGTGTTTTCCTTCCTGCGGGGGTGCTGGTATCTACCACGTTCTTGACTGGCTTAGCTGTAAGCAGAATCGAGTCTCATTCTCATCCATCGGTCCAGAAATTCTTGCAGCTGCCACTTTATCAGATCGCGGATCGCTCATGGCAGAGCAGCTTCAAGTTCTAAATCAGTCAGACACATGTTTTCCCTACGTACTTACCGTAGATTCTCATGGCTTGTACTCAACAGTAACGACGTTGCATGAAGGACAAGATTATCGCCTCCGTCCAACCGTGTGCAGAATGAGGGACTCCTATGAAACTGGAGAAATCTCAGTAATGCAATGGATCCCTGGCAAGCAAAACCTCGCAGACGCCCTTACGAAGAGGAACATTGTCATGTACAAGACACCGAATGAAGTACTGGTGTCGGGAATTCCTAGTACTTCCATCGTGCAAGGAGCCCAACGGACGAAGCATGGAGGCGACGGAGACGAGTTCGATTTGATCACTAAAGCCTCCTTTTACTCCTCCTCCTCGTCTATGACAACTCTACTCGTCTTCCTCCGCTGGCGAGCGACCACCTCATGTTTCCTAGCACGCTTTTTTTCCCTCACCAGCTTCTGCTTCTCTTTAGAATTTTCCTCGATGGCCTCTACTTTTTCGCACCTCCTGGCGCGAGACACGCTTCAATTCTGCAAATACTGCGAATGTAACTCCATCTCCAACGCAAATACTGAAGACCCCATCTCGCATCATCAATCCCTTCGTCTCTGTGCAGTCCAAAACTACCTTCCTCTCCACATCGACAACCACAACATGGTTGACCATCTCCCCATATTCATGTACCCCTTTGATGTTCGCTAAGAACACCCCACTCTTCTGCCGAAAGAGCCAGGCGGCATCTGGAACATATCCAGTGGTACTTTTAGTATTTTGAAGTGCATACCGCCCCATCACCTTCTCTATCCAAGTAACTGCCATGGCAAGGCTGTTACAAGGCACAGGACCCTTGGACAATAGCTCCTTAGCTGTGAAAGGCCCGTCTAGGGCAGACAAATCATTACCAATTCCCGCTCGCAAGCAGTTACCCGTGGGGGAAGAGCAAGCCACGTTGACGGAGGGTATAGAAAAAGAGGAAGCGCGTGTGGAGCTCGGTCTCAGCCCAGGACAAGCAAGCCTCTTGTACCTGTCCATGTTTTTGCAGCACCATCCGTTCAGCTGCAACATAGGTTTCAGCTGCTGCTCCGGTCCACATCGCAAAATCATCATCAGCTCCTTCTCTGTTGATCCCTCTCATAGCTCCACGTCAGAGCATATAGGACTCCCATGTGCGTCCATTATCCCACCGCACTCAGCTTCTAAGGTACAGACGCCGACCTTCCAAAAGCTATTAACGCCTCCAGATGACAGATTGGAGGCGTAGTATTGGCCAAATTTCCACCCATGGCTCTTCCCGGACGCAAGGCTGATGTGTTTAATTTCGTAAGGTCTCTCTCCTTCTCTCTTCTCTACGGACCAATCCACGTGAAGAAAACCCAACGCCAAACCATCTCAGCTGTCCACAACACCTTCGTGTCCCGTCTGCACCACCCTCGCAGGACCTTGGACAGCAAATGATGTCAGCGGGGCGCGAGGTCGGGTGTGGGAATCCGTGAGCGCTCTGAGTGGTTGCGGCGCAGCAATTCTCGGCGGCTGAAAGCGGGGTCGTGTGTGCAAGGTGCACTGTGCAGGTGAGGAGGCAGATGCATGGTGGTTTGGAGGATGGACAAAGATAGACGCTCGAGAGTGTGTGCGTAGACTGCAAATGGACAAGGCGCGGCAAAGCGCAATAAATCAACGATCTGCGATGCGGAGTTTAAATGCGCAATCGAGCCGAGGGAGAAATGGTTGCGTGGTCGTCGCAGACAAAGCCGACACTGGCTGGTCATGGTAATCGAGATTGAACTCCGGACCACTGTCTTTGGTCGCCACGCAACGGGGTGTGTGTTGGATGCGCCTAAATCCACACGTATTTTAATCCAACCAAACTGTAATTTTAGGGCGGCTGCCGGCGGTCGTAGGGAGATTACCGAGCGGCGCCGACGGAATAAAAACAGGAGGACTCGCGCAAGGAAGAAGGGATCCCCGGGGGTAACAACTTGAGTACTGTTGCAGGTTCCCTTCCTGCAAGCGCATTCGGCAATTAGTAGTCATCGAACAAAGTAGCACCCCCAAGAACAGTGATAGTAACCAACACAAACCGCTTTTATCGGTCAGTACAGCTACAACACGACCAAAAACCAGTAGTGATACAGCTACAAAGAGAGTACACACAGCTCTGCCTCCCCTTCCGTTCCGTCTCCCCCGCAACCCGCTCACCTTTTAACACCACTATCTTTCAATGCACATCCGCACTGTCTGTCAATGCACAGCCGTACGCGCCCCTTCATCACTGCGATTTATCCTTCCATTACAAACCCCGAGCGCAAAACCGACACAAGTCGTGATCCTTTCCTGCAATTGGCACCAACTTGGTGCTTGACTTGCACTTGAAGTGCATATAATTGACCCTCGATGAGCTTCCAAAATGACGTGCGCTTCACTGCTGTGATTGTGCCCTCCACGGATGTAGCTCAGATCTCGATTGCCTTTCTGGATCCTGATCCACTGTTGACAGGTAACAGTACCCGAACACTTCGCCGGCTGCCCGCTTCTCGTTCCCTCACGCGAGGACCCACTGCCCCTCTCGACCGCCTCGCTCGCTCCCGCGGTTACCACGCCGCTGCCGCCTTACACCGAGCCTCTTCGTCCCCTGGCGCTCGGCTCTCTCCGCCACCGCGCCGCTGAGGCACGGATACTAAGCCAACCTCTCCCGTCCTTCCAACCCGTGTCTGCCACAGTCGGACGGATTACGATGCGGGTGTACACATACACAGTACAGGTACAGTATGGAGGTACTGTAAACTTTATGTGTATCATATGTGTGTGAGACGGTGGGGTGTTTTGGATTTGAATGCATTTTTTGGATCTGAGGGTGTGAGCCAATTACCTATATCCAATTAACATGTAATTGTTTTGTTCATTGGTTACGACGACAAATATCTATATCCAATTAACATGCCCCACCCCAATTGCGCGTGTGCCATGGATCAGAGGATGAGCAGCCAATTGGGAGTCTAATATCTCTATCCAATTAATATCCCCCACTCCATTACACGTGGGCCGATGCCCAAGCTCGTCATGACAACCTGACCTCGCTCTAACCGCTGCTCCACCTTCTGATGGCCGGCACAATCCCACTCCCCCACTCGCACCCGCCTCCCTGCCTCACCCGTCTGTCATCTCTTGCACCCGCTCTCCCCTTTTCCCCTCTCCCCCCTTCCCCTCTCCCCCCTTCCCGCCTCCCCCGCTGTCTCCCCGCCAACTGCAACCTCCCTCTTCATCCCGCCCCCGTCGCCGCGCCGTCATGGTCTCTCTCCCCGCCTTCTGCGCCCCTCTCGCGCT